GTAAGTCATGCAAATGGTTAAGCATTTCAAGTGGAGCTGATATTATTAATATTATCAGCCTACTGATTATTAACAAATCAAAAATATTGTACATGAGTTTAAAACTCTTGAGAAAATAGTTTCACATTTGAAAATTAAATATATGGTCAGTGTTTTTATTTCCTTTCGCTTTATTCTTAGTAAACATACATGTGAATAATGAAACAAAACAGAAAATAGTTTTCACTGGAGAGAGAGAGAGCGAGAGACAACGAGAGAGAGAGAGAGAGAAAGGAAGGGGAAGATAAGGAGAAATCAGTGAATGGACAGTTTGAAGGACACTTGTCTGGTTTTATAGTTTCTCCTTCTTTATGTTCATGTTTATTTTAAAACCAAAAGAATCAAGGTCCTCATGCTTTTACTTTAAAGAACAGTGATAATCTGTTGCTTGGCAACACTTCTTTTAAAATACCTGAGCAGGACAAGACTGAGGATAGTAATGGTCATCTGAAGCTCAAACTCAACTAATTTTGTTTATGATTCATACCACTTGTAAACAATATATTGTGATAAAGTGGGATCTTATCTGCTGAGCTCTTTGTAGCCAAATTGTTCTATTTTCATCCCTATGTGCTTTGATCATTCATCTGTGACATCATGACCTACCTCATTGATTCATGACATGAATGCATTTTGCTGTAGTTAAGAACTTATTTCAACTGGTTTCATACACTTTTAAAAGCAAAGGTACTTTAATTGGCATCCATGGATTTCATTAAGAACCATCATCCATGAACATCCATGAAATCTTTCCATTGCATTGAAGTTTTTTATATATACTGAAGAAAAAAGAGAATGTTCTTTAGATTTTTTTTTACGAAAAAAATTATGTTAAAAAATAAATAAATGAATCACCCAAAAATGAAAATTTGTCACACTAATCCACAAGTAATCCAAACTACTCCAGTTCATAAATTAATGTCTTGTGAAAAGCTGTGTTTGTAATAAACAAATTCACCATTAAGGCGATTCAACTTTAAACTGTTGCAATATACCAGTCCATAATTCATGATAACACTTCCTCCAGTGAAAAAGTCCATCCCTCGTTGTCAACATCCATTTGTTTAGAACGGTTTTGGACTTTATTCATTTGTAAACGGTGCTTGATCTGTGCATATTTCTCTCCTGATTCAGATAAGACAACTTTTTCACTGCAGAAAGCAAAATTATGGATAGAGGACTCATATTTTAGCCAGAAGCAAAGTTAAAAACTTGATGAATTTCTTATGTCTTTCTTGTGGGTTATTGAGAAGTTTTTTTATCAGAACTCTCATTCTGACGGCACCCATTCACTCCAGAGGATCCATTGGTGAGCAAATGATGTAATCCTGAATTTCTCCAAATCTGTTCCGATAAAGAAACAAACTCATCTACGTCTTGGATGGCCTGAGAGACTGAGGAAATTCAACAAATCAAACATTTTTTGATGAACTATTCTTTTAAGAACTGTTCACTGAAAAATTATTTGGGGAACCAAAAACAGTTCTTTATTGCTTCTTTATTTGTAAGACTGTAGAGAAGTGCATGCATACATTTTGTGTGGATACAAAAGTTTTAAACATCGGACAGCAAATGTACGTGAGCTAAGTTCTCGCCTACACATCTCCCTCCTCCCTCTCCTACCGTTGATGAAGCCTGTTCAAACTGCAACCTTGTAACTGCGCTTGCTTTTTTCTTTTTCCTTAGTCGCTCAGGCTATTTTTGACACCCAGCAACAGTGCTCATTTATTTCAAACCACTTTCAGATTTCTATAAGATTCTAAACATATTGCTGATCAAGGACAAACAGATCCATATGTGTTTGGTGCACTTCAGTAACTTTTAAAGAACACCATTGCATATGTTGTTACATTAATTGAGAATATTATGGGGCATCAGATGCCTTTTTGTCCTGGGGTTAAATAAGCCTGAGTCACACTTCCTGTTTGCAATATTTTACATCCTATGTAGTATCTGACTGCCATTATACTGTCTTTTCCCCTTTTTTATGTCCAGCCTGTGCAATTATGGCAATTACAGATCAAATAACAAAGCCTTTAGGAGGCTGGATGATAGGAACAAGGACAGAGGGGACAGACTGTTGGACAGCCACAGCATTTGACGTCGTTCAGAACATATGGTATCAATATTGATGAAAAGTTTTGCTGGATGATGTGGATCTGGCCCCTGGGAGACAGATCTCTGCAGAGAGGGAACTGTCACCCTACCCCTTGAGCTCCCACTGGACTTTTTTGTTTATTACGTGAGTGGCACGGCCATCTGCTGAAATCAGAAAGATAGGGGATGAGATTTCTTGGAAAAAATGTGTAATGCTCATAATCTGTTCACATGTACGTCTTTTTAATATGCATTGCACTTTGGTCATGTTCGAAGAAAGGAAAGAACACTTCGGTAATTATCTCATATTGAATCCCGAACATGATGAAATAGTAGCTTTCCAGGAAAAATCTAAATTCAGCTCAGATGGCTGGTCTTCTTGGCTTATGTTGTGTATGGCACAAAAAACCCCATCATAATTTGTACTCCATATTCTGGACAATATGGATAACTTTGTGGCTACAGAATTGTTACCTTTGTGATCAAATGTTAGTTTTGGTAAAGAAAGGAACAATAAGTTTCACTTGTAGTATCCCTGTCTTTTCTACACATATTCTTTTTTTATTTGGGGGTTTATACTAGAAGCTGATACTTGACCATCTCTGTATCTCTGCACCCATGGCAACGGAGCTGCAGTATCTTAGTAACAAAATTTGCGCATTGCAAGAGATGAAAAATGATGGTTGTTCTCAAGCACACCACCAATTTGAACCCAACAGAAGAAGTCATAACATTTAACCTCTATCCCAATGAAGTGACATTTATTAATATCCTAAAAACAAAAGTAACCATCCACCATCTTGTGAAGAAAACTAAGAATGGGAACTCACTTGTCATTGCTTTCACACCTTTAGAGCACATTAAATCACTTGGAAGGTCACGTTGCCTGATTCTTTCTGGTTTGAAGAAACATTTTTCACTTTGTCATCGTCTTGAAAATTGTAAACCTGATCTGTGTGGGATGGAAATTAGTTCATGTTACCAATAAAAAAAAATTAAAAATGAGATTAAAGTTAATATTTCCAATTTCAGGACAATTAAGAGTGTACATGTATTGTTTCAGTCATTCATGGTGATCAGAGAATAATATGTTTTAATGGCCTGATTGTGACGTACATTTGAGTGGGAGGACAGGAAAATTACTCTCCTTATAACCCAGTGTAGCATTACCCTTCTAAACCACAAAAATAGCTCCAACGCCTCCATTTTCCTCTCTGCTAATGAAAAGAACTAACCTTGTTTATTTTTTAGAGAAAATTCAACTATTTATAGACAGGCATATAAACATTTGTTTAATTTTAAACAAATGCAAATGTTAACCTAACATATATTAATTAGATTTTTGTTGAAAGCGATCACAGTCACAACAAAACAAATTTAAAAAGGCTTATTCAGAATGAATATAGTTCACATAAAAATGAAAATTCTGTCATCATTTGCTTATCCTGATGTCGTGCACATCTTACTTCTGCTGAACACAACAAAAGATATTTTAAAGAATGTTGAAAAGAGTTTGGGTTCCCATTGACGTCCATTTGTATTTTTTGTCCATACAATGGAAGTCAATGGAAACCAAAGCCGTTTAGTTACCAACATTCTTCAAAATTTCACACAAAGAAAGCCTACGTCTTAAAGTCTCAGAAAACCAAAGAATGTAAAATATTACAGCATCATCTGACATGCTTGTCAGTGTGTTCAGCTACTCCAGTCACACCTACATCCATCTGCTGCACTGCCCACAAGCCCTCTGTGCCAACACTGACCATCAATGAGCTCATCACTTCCCTGCTGGAGCTACACTAGGCTAAATTCACACTTATCATTTGACAATACACTACATGCCGTTATAATTAACACACAGATCCTTTCACACACATAGCAGTAATAAATCAGACGCTGACTCAAACAGAACTTCCTACTTGTTTTGCCATTGTTCTAAATCAAGTGAGATGACCAGTCCATTGATGAAATAATGTTAATGAATGGCCTGCAAAAACACAAGCCTTTTTGGTACACTCTAATTAGCATTTCAAAGGTATCAGTTTTCATATTGTGGTTGCTCTGTTACTTTTTATTCATTAACTTCTTCCTGTCTTTACTTTTTGTCAATGAAGTAAATTTAAATGAGGTAAATTTAAATCTATAGGACAACTTTAAAGCTTGTAGTTAACACGTAGGATTTCCAAAATGAAAAATTATTGTTATTAGGTACAGTAGTTCCAAAGTACAGTGGCCCTAAAATAACAACCAAAAAATGATATAAATGTGACATTTATTTTGGTCAACCCTTAAACGTGACTGTAGTAATGGTTCTTTCAGCTAATAGCAAAAAAGGTAAAACTCAGCATGTGCTAATGTTACACTGTCACCATGTGGAGACACCTGAGCATTTCATTTATACTTACTTTCATTTATACTCACAATCAAGATAAATTTTAACCAAATTATTAGCATGTACACCAAACAGGATTTTTTTTAGCCTACAGACAAGAAAGGAAAAATAAAGAAGATCATAAAAAAACAAAGATGTGAAGGGAGGATCAGAATTGTTTTTCTTTAATGTATTACATTTACACAGTAATTTTTCACTTTAACAATGAAATTAAGCAAAAAATTTAAAAATAAAAAAGATTTTTGTATAATCTTGTAGTCTGAGTAAACAAGCAGAAGTACAGAATTCAATAAGCATTAGAGAAAATGCAACAATTTACGTAAAATTGGTTTCACAAATTTTTTTAAATAAAAATGAGTTCTCATTTAAGGCTTATAGAAACCTGGATTTTATTTTAGTTTGTTAGTGTTTTCTAAAATTTCCCAGTATTACACTAGATAAATGTAATTACAAAAGTTCTTTGGAATGTGTATTGTATGTAGGTTCGATAATTCTTCCTATTTATTTTGTTTTGTTAGCTAATACTAATAACAAACTATATCTTGACGTTTCTTTCTGAAATATCTGCAGCAGACATGTGTGTGTTTTCGGTGTGTGTGCTTGTATGCTGCATGTATGTGTGAGAATGAGTCCACGGTGACAAAGTGAGAGGAATAAATGTTCAGATGCTTTAGCGCTTCCCAGAATAGGCCTGCAGTCACTGGCCTGCAGTCAGCCTAAAAAAAAATCATTTCACATCATTAGGTGGTGATTTGTGGAACTGTGTTGCCAATTTTCAACACACAAAAGCAGAAATAGACTGAATAAAGATATTCTTGTATATACTGTATTCATACAGTGTTTTCCCTATGTTTGTCTCTCCATCTCTCTCTCCTCAGAAAGCATGAGGCCCAACATAAACAGAGAGACGCAGAACAGAGCTGGTCTGGTAGTTCATGAGAGGATTGACAGACACCATCTCCAGATCGAGGACGTACTCCTTCGGTCCAGTCACTGCTCTGGCCAAAACCAACATGGCACTGATGTTGTTGATTTGCTGCGAACAAGAAATGACAAATATAAATGAGTCAAAAAGTATGAGACCACATTGCAATTCTGACATTTTTCATTTAAACACAAACTGAAAGTTTTGCGATTTTTTAAGCTTAAAACCTAGCTTCAAACAAAGTGAACACGTTAAATAAGACAAAAATATTAAAGATTCTGCACTATTTTAAATCACTAACCAATATAAACAAATATGTGATCGAGTATTAAAAAAAAAAAGTGTTTTTTTTTTTTTACTTTTATTCAGAAAGTATGCATTAAATTGATCAGAATTGACAGTAAAGACAGTAATGTTGCTAAATAATTTTTTTCATCAACGATTTCTTTTCTTTTCATCAAATAATCTTAAAGGGGTCATATGATGCGATTTCAAGTTTTTCTTTCTCTTTGGAGTGTTACAAGTTGATTGTGCATAGATAAGATCCCTGAAGTTGCAAAGACTAAAGTCTCAAAACCAAAGAGATATTCTTTATCAAAGTTAAGACTCTGCCACGTCCCCCTAAAACGGCTCGTTCTAACACGCCCCCACATATCTACCTCACTATGTGGAAATATTTGCATAATGCCACTCAAATGTTCACGCAAAGAAAGAAGGCGTGGTTTCAGTAACCGCAGTTAGTGTTGAAGCAGCATGTCAGGGAGACGCTGTGTGTTTCTAGGCGAAAGCAAAAGCACTTTATTTGGCCTTCCAAAAGTAGATGCATTTAGAAATCTTTAAGATTACTTACAACAGAACAGCAATGCATTTTATGGACGACCATTTCGTGAACCTAGGAGAGGAGGTAATTCTGACTTTGCTATGACAATCTGACGCTTCTGAATCAGCTACTGTTTTGTTATTATTTTAAGTATTTGCTATTGACTGTTCAAATGCGGAGTTTTGCGCATCGTGTGTGTGTGTGTGTGCGAGAGAGCGCGAGAGAGAGAGGGAGAGGTGTTTTTTGAACATTAAAGCATGTCAGCATATTCTGTTACACCAAACACACAAAATAATGATATTTAAAAAAGCATCATATGACCCCTTTAAATTTACAAATTTCACAGAATTTTCCACATGGTTTTCACACAAGTATTAACAGCTGTTTTCAACGTTGATAATAATAAAAAATGTTTCTTGAGCGCCAAATTAACATTAGAATACTTTCTGAAGCATCATGTGACACAGAAGACTGGAGTAATGAATGCTGAAAATTCAGCTTTGCCATCACAGGAATAAATTACATTTTAAAATATATTAAAATAGAAAACAATTGTTAAAATTGTAATAATATTTCACAATATTACTGTTTTACTGTATTATGATCAAATAAATGCCCAGGCGACCACAAGGGACTTCTTTCAAAAACATGATCCAAATGAACCCAAATGAATGATAGTGTAATAATAAAAAGAGAATGTATTTACTCTAGCACACATAAGTTATGAAACTGATGTTTAAAGTGTGTTGTGTGTCTCTGACTAACCCGTATGTAGAATTCTTCATTTTCATCTCCAGAACGAATGCGGAAGGAGTTGTAGGCTCCAGGATAGACGCTGGTGGCCTGGATCTGGAAGATGTCAGAGGGAACCGAGCGTTCGGAGGTGATGCTCATGTATCGATGCACAATGGAAAAGGGCAGGTCACGACACTCTGGCTTCACCACTGGACATATACAATGACTGGACAGAAAGAAAGTGACACAAGGAAAAAGGGAGAGGGGTGTTAAAATAATAAAAAGTGCCAAAATATGATTTTGAGTCAATTATGAGTTGCCTTTACACAAATCGAAATGGCTCACTTCTCTGAAACCTGGACGTAGGGGTCCTGGCAGCGGTTGGAGTTGACACACTGATGTCCACCATGGATGTTCACACAGACCTGTCCCTCCCCACACTGATGAGTGCCTGTCTCACACTCATTCACATCTACACACAGAATTGTTATGACAAACTCAAACCAAGTGAAATGTGATTGTAAGAGTCAAGTGTAAAAAACAGGGATTTTGTTTCAATACCCTGGCAGAGTCGTGTTCCTACTAGCTCGTAACCTTCTGGACAAACACAGGAGAATCTTCCAGGCTCGTTCACACACTGAAACTGGCAAAGGAAACTGGAATAGCTGCACTCATCAATATCTGGGAGGAGAGAAAGAAAACCAGTTACATTCAGTCCATCATCAGTTGGTCAAAAACTATTAGGGTAATGTCTTACGCACTAACCATTGCATGAGAAGCCATCGGGTCCCAGGTCATAGCCTTGATCACAGCGACACAGGAATGTACCATAACTGTTGTAACATCTTTGTTGACAAGGTGCTCCCATCTCACACTCATTTACATCTGATGACAAAGAACAGAGATGATATTTTTGGAGTTCAAGAGACCCAACCCCACTCATTTTTCATATCCTTTCTTGCTCCATGGAATAAAGAAAATGACCCGGTTTTGAAAAAAATATATATATATTTATGTTTGAGTTTTGATTAAGCTGTCAAACTACAATTATTATATTAGTGTGTAAGGAAGTTTTGATTGCTGGAAAATGTATCTGCTTTAAGGACTTACCAACACAGGATCTGTTGTTTCCTGCCAATTGGAAGCCAGGCTCACATTCACAAGAGAAAGATCCTGGCACGTTCACGCAGCGATGCTGACAGTACCTGTACCTGCACTCGTCGATATCTAACAGATGAGAGGAAATACTTACTGTAGACTGCAGAACAGAAAAGATGCATCCATATATTAAAGACAGATGTTAAGACACATCATTTCTTCTCTTACCCACACACTCTATGCCAATCTTGCTGTAGCCGTCAGGGCACTGACAGGTGTAGGTGCCCACAGTGTTGATGCATTCCTGGCTGGGCTGACAGTCATGCATGTCCAATTCACATTCATCAATGTCTGTCCAAAGCATGATGAAGAGCTTCAGGACATCATACTCATGCACATACACTATATAAAACCATATGAACAGGCTTTCCCTACATTCGGCCTTAAATAACTCACCCACGCAGGTATCTCCTTGAGCCCTGTAGCCTACAGGACAGGGGTTAAAGGCCTCGTTACGCTCCACATGAACACTGGGCTCTGATTGGCTGGAGGGCTCAGGTGCAGTGATCACGGAGGCAGAGCGAGGAAGGCACAGGTAACCACCATAATGATTAAAGCATTTCATCTCTCCTTGACAAGCCTGCTGTATAGTCTCACACTCGTTTATGTCTAAGTAAAATAGAGAACAGAATTTAGCTTTACAAGTAATTTGTATGTCCTTTTTATTTTTTTATTTTTTATTAAATACTAGATATATGAAACAAATATACAACCATACATACTGTATAAACAACATAAGAAAAAGAAAAAAGAACAGCAGTTCTTTTTTTTACTTTCAATTATCTCTTTAGCAACTCAAATTGTATCATCTTTTGTTATCTATACTTCTATCAATACTTAAAGGGATAGTTCACCCAAAAATGAAAATTCTGTTTACTTGCATTTACATGAACTCACACTCATGTCATTCAAAACCTAAATGACTTTCTTTCTTCTGTGGAACATAAAAGAAGATATTTGAGAAATATCTTAGATTAAATTTTTTTTAATAACCAAAACTGTTCAGTTACCAACACTCTTTAAAATATCTTCTTTTGTGCTCCACACAAGTCATACAGGAGTGGAACAACATGAGAGTGAATACATGATAACATAATTTTCATTTTTGAGTGAACTATCCCTTTAAGAAAGCCAATAAATTAAAAAAGAAAATCAACCATAAGGAACAATCTACATAGGAAATATATATACAGTGACATGCGAAAGTTTGGGAACCCCTTGCAGAATCTGTGAAAATGTGAATAATTTTAACAAAATAAGAGATCATACAAAATGCATGTTATTTTTTATTTAGTACTGTCCTGAGTAAGATATTTTACATAAAAGATGTTTACATATAGTCCATAAGACCAAAAAATTGCTGAAATTATAAAAATAACCCCCTTCAAAAGTTTGGGAACCCTTGGTTCTGAATACTGTGTGTGGTTACCTGGATGATCTACCACTGTTTTTTGTTTTGTGATGGTTGTTCATGAGTCCCTTGTTTGTTCTGAACAGTTAAACTGAGCACTGTTCCTCAGAAAAATCCTCTGTGTCCTGCAGATTCTTCAGTTTTCCAGCATCTTTTGCATATTTGAACGAGGAGTTACCTGGCAGGGGAGACACCATGATCAAGAAGGTGGTTCACCCAGGGTGAGGCTCAGCCATTGCGCTCAGGTTGTGCTGACCCCTGCGAATTCCCCAAATGTGGGAATCTCGCCTGCATAATTTATGGTAGTGGGGGACTGCGTTCGCACTCTCCCCTGAATTTTTTTTTTGGGGAAGTCGTGGCCTAATGGTTAGAGAGTCGGACTTGTAACCCAAAGGTTGCGGGTTCGAGTCTCATACCGGCAGGGATTGTAGGTGGGGGGAGTGAATGTACAGCACTCTCTCCCACCTTCAATACCACGACTGAGGTGCCCTTGAGCAAGGCACCAAACCCCTAACTGCTCCCTGGGGCCGCAGCATAAATGGCTGTCCACTGCTCCAGGTGTGTGTTCACTGCTGTGTGTGTGCACTAAGGATGGGTTAAATGCAGAGCACTAATTCCTAGTATGGGTCACCATACTTGGCCACATGTCACAACACTAATGATTTCCAGCAGTGACTGTATGATTTTGAGATCCATCTTTTCACACTGAGGACAATTGAGGGACTCAAACACAACTATTAAATAAGGTTCAAACATTCACTGATTCTCCAGAAGGAAACACGATGCATTAAGAGCCGTTTTGAATTTGAAGATCAAGGTAAATTGTACTTAATTTGTCTTCCGGGAAACATGCAAGTATCTTCTGTTGCTTCCGAAGGGCAGTACTAAATGGGAAAAAAATTATATTTCAGCAAAATAAGAAAAATTGGGACATCTTCATCCAGCTCTTACTGCATCGTGTTTCCTTCTGGAGAATCAGTGAATGTTTGAACCTTATTTAATAGTTGTGTTTGAGTCCCTCAATTGTCCTCAGTGTGAAAAGATGGATCTCAAAATCATACAGTCACTGCTGGAAAGGGTTCAAATATGCAAAAGATGCTGGAAAACTGAAGAATCTGCAGGACACAGAGGATTTTTCTGAGGAACAGTAATCAGTTTAACTGTTCAGAACAAACAAGGGACTCATGAACAACCATCACAAAACAAAAAACAGTGGTAGATCATCCAGGTAACCACACACAGTATTAAGAACCAAGGGTTCCCAAACTTTTGAATGGGGTTATTTGAATAATTTCAGCTATTTTTTTGTCTTGTGAACTAAATGTAAACATCTTTTATGTAAAATATCTTACATAAAAGACATATCTTATCTCAGGACAGTACTAAATAAAAAATAACAGTCATTTTGCATGATCTCTCTTATTTTGTTAAAATTATTCACATTTTCACAGATTCTGCAAGGGGTTCCCAACCTTTCGCATGCCACTGTATATATAGGAAGGTTTTGTATGTTCACCTAATATTATTAACCAATCAAAAGACATTTGATGAGACAGTGAAGGGGGTTTGGACCAATCAGATTTCAAAATGGGTGAAGTTACCGCAAGCTGCAGAAAAAGAGGCTAATCAACCAACAACATAATTTCTTGGTTAGGACAAAATCTCAGATTAAATGAATTTATTGCTTGTTGCTCATTTAATTTTTTTTTCTTTGTGCTTGGTTAGGATGTGTTGTATCTGGAATATTAAACTGGGAGAGATAGTATTTTAACATCGAAAAATATGACATAATATACATAATCCATATAATTTAGCCTTGCATTTATATGAAAAAAACTGCTCAGTATTACATCTACAGCTCCTTTTAATCATCTGCGCTTTAACGTGCTGCGTCTTCTCAGGACACAGTGTATTTTAAAATTCAAAGATGCAGCCAGACACAGGGGCAGGACAGAGGGATTGTGCATGTGACATTTAACCAACAAGATAATTAGAGGAGTACGGTGGCAGAGAAGTGCAAAAAAAAGAAGAGCAGATCACAATTCTGAAAACAAAATAACAAATTACAAACGCAAATGCATTTATAAAACAAAATAACAATTCAGAAAGCACAACAACAATTCAGAAAACATCATAACAAGTCAGAAAACACAATGACAAATTCGAAAACAAAATAACAAGTCAGAAAACACAGACAAATCAGACAAACCGGAAGAGGTAGGTATAGTTTGAGATAGCGCCATTGGTTTGGGATTACTCACCGCTGACTGGACGAGACATCTGTCAATCAACGTATACAGGAAGAACCAGCCGAAGAACAGCAGAGTCATGGTAGAAAGTTCGGAGATGGTATTAAAGTAGCTTAGCTTAAATGTATTGTATGAATTGCCCTTACTCTGGAATAAAAAATACGAGGTGTCTATTTACATTTAGTTAAAAGTGGCTGTAATTCATCAGCTCCAGTGGCGCAGATGGATAAGTGTGTGTCCTTGGATTTTTGACGCGATCGACCCGGGTTCGATCCCAAACTTTTTTTTTCTCCCTTTTCAAATCTCGTATTAGCAATGGATTCTATTTACACTAAGTGAAAATAGCAGTATTTTTAGCAATATGCTATTTATACTATGTTAAAATAGCAGGATTTCTACTATCAAGTATACTACTTGTTGCAAATAGTGGCAATTATCTGCACTTCAGTATTGTAGTACATTATAAAACAGTATGCAATAATAACGTATTGTGTAAATTATAATTTTAATTATTAAATGGATGCCACCTTATTGGTACAATAAAGCCCTCCCTACACCTACCCTAACCCTACCCGATACTTTATTTTCAACTTTTTGATTATTTCCTTAATTTTTATTGAAAATAAAAAAAAAAAAGTTAGGCAAAAGGCAGGATCGAATCCGGGTCAATCGTGTCAAAAATCCAAGGAAACACACTTATCCATCTGCGCCACTGGAACTGACAAGTTACAGCCACTTTTAACTAAATGTAAATAGACACCCCGTATTTTTTATTCCAGAGTAAGGGCAATTCATACAATACATTTAAACTAAGCTACTTTAATACCATCTCCAAACTTTCTACCACGACTCTGCTGTTCTTCGGCTGGTTCTTCCTGTATACGTTGATTGACAGATGTTTCGTCCAGTCAGCGGTGAGTAATCCCAAACCAATGACGCTGTCTCAAACTATACCTACCTTTTCCGCTTTGTCTGATTTGTCGTTGTGTTTTCTGATTTGTTCATTTGTTTTCGGATTTGTCTGTGTTTTCTGACTTGTTATTTTGTTTTCGAATTTGTCATTGTGTTTTCTGACTTGTTATAATGTATTCTGAATTGTTATTTTGTTTTTTAGACTTGCATTTGCGTTTGTAATTTGTTATTTTGTTTTCAGAATTGTGATCTGCTTTGCACGTCTCGGCCACCGTAGAGGAGGAATGCATCACTTTCTCATCATCTCTCTCTCTTTCTCTGGCACATGACTTTCCACCCACCTCGACAGAGTTGAGTCTGCATGTCCCACTCATAGCCATCTGTACACTCCTGGCAGAGAAAACACACTTTATTATGAGTTATCTTTAATCATTAGCAGTTACACTCAAACACTTTTATTGACAGGAACATGACTTTTTAATACAAACTGATGTCTGATTGTATACAATAACACACTATATATGGTGAGTTATGTAGGAAGGCAGAGAGATGTGAGATAGTTCATGCATGAAGGAAGACTGAAGAGGAAGAGAGAAGAACAGGGAGAAATTGTCACATTTACTTACTGTGTAAGAGTCACGTTCAGCAGGAGACTGACAGATTGTAGCAGGAAGAACAACCAGACCCATGCAAAGTAGCACATATGTGGCCTTCATAGTTACAGGGTACAGGACATTCACCCTGCCACACACACAGCTGGATGGATGAACAAATGTATAGTTGTCGTTAAGGCACACTTCACACCAAAGAGAACAATAAGAGAGAGCACAGACGTGCAAAGGGGTCTGTTCAGTTCCCGTCGTCTCCTCTATGAAAATAAGAAGGGGGCAGACAGACAGGTGGGGGTGAGACCTTGTAAAAAAAGACCAACAAAGGTAATTGCAAATAAACGTGCTAACAGGAATAGTACACACATACACATGTGGAAGCAGTGACAATGCCCCGTTGAAAAGGCCAGCATTGCTGATCACCTCCATATGTTTTGTTTTGGATATTGGTGTGCTGGTGTCCCCATTAGGATTGTTAACTAGCTTTACAATTTACACTTACAAATAAAGTTGAGTGTTTTATAGCATTTAATAATCTAGGTCAGAATTATCATAGTTACTAAATCTAAAACCATTAAAACAATTTTTTTTGTTACCTTAAATAAACTTTATCTGAGAATAAAATATATATAAAAAACACAAACATTTTGTTTAATCTATTTGCCATGGTAACAATTTAAATTTTTTATTTAACTTGATGTACCTAAAACAATAATCATTAAATACTATATATATATATGTTTAAAAAACTAATAAAATGACAAAAACAACAAAATTATTAAAACTTTAAATTCAAATACAAACAGAAAATATAAAAATAAAAACTAATTCAAAATATGAATAAAAACTATATCTCATTGATACTATACACTGATCTAGGTAAATGTTAATTTATAATTGCACTTTTGTGTAATACTCAATTCATGCTTGCTAATAATAGATTCAATCATGTTAATTTATACAACTTATGTTGGCATATGTAAAAATATATCTAATTTAGAAGAATACTGTTCGTTGTTAATTCATGATACCTTACACATTAACCAGCATAAACCTGCTTGAACCAGCATGGAAATTCACTCTTTTTATCACATTAATATGGCTATAATTCTTCAACAGATATCACTCCATGGCATATATGATAAGTGATAAATGCAAGTTTGGGATTTTGTGCAGTGATTTTGATCTTGCCAACTAAGCAAGGCAAGTTGATGCATATAATCAGATATTGCATGATGGATTTTCCATTCCTCACATTCAGCGATCTGGAGATAGTTATTCACACCTACTACCTCCATCATTTCCTGACAACTGTACACTGTACACACACACACACACAAAGTAACATTTAAATTAACTGGTTTTGGTCACATCAAATACAATATATTTAACATCACAGAATCAACCTACAAATAAAACTAATTATGGGTTAAATCAGGTCTTTAAGGTAAGTTTGAGTTACCACTTTTTACAGTGTAGCATGAGACTTTATACTGTCCAAAATGCTGCTGCTAGAACAGTATTTCACCTGTTCTGGCCTCTCTTAACTACAGTAATTTATTTTAAGGTCTTATTATATGTTTTTATAGCTGTAAAACAAATCATAGTCCTCCTCAGCCATCAGTATCGCTCCTGGACTCTCATAACATCTACTTCTGCCTACACTCGCATTTCAAGATTAAAGATGATCTTTCTCTGTAGCTTTGAGGGTTTATTTTAAGTTTTGTTTGCTTTTATGGCTAAATGCATTATACCATTTTAATTGCTCTTGTACATCACTTGTTGTTTTTAGATGCCCTCTGTAAATACACTGACATGACTTTCTACTGATTTCTAGGGACTTGCTCTACTGTTTGTTCAGGAACAGCAAAGTTGGCCTGCCCAAGAGGCAGAAACATGGCCAGTGTCTGAACTCTACAGGATATGACACAAGCAATTCCATGCACTCAGATTCGTCCAAAAACAAGCCTTGTCTGTAGTCATTAACTACAACTGTTTTCAATTCAAACTAAAGGTTTCTGTCACATCTAAGCATGATTAGAAAGCATTGACTACATTTCTGTCATTCATTTCATTATTACAAAGCAACAATGAGCTTTAAAGTCCTGGAATGACAAATGCTAAATTTCTCATACACGCTTTATCAAATGTCTTTCTCTCCAAGTATGCTTGAATGGTCTCATTTGCATTATGTACTGCTATGGTCAATTTTACAAACTGCAAATGCACAGGAGTCAAATACAGATGGTTTGAAACTCACTTTCTGAAGTCTGTCCAGCAGAAGTTGTCTCGCTCTTCTGTCTCTGTGCCTATTGATTTCTCTCTCCCTCTCCGTTTAGTGGACTGTTTTTAGAGCTCTGTGACAGCAGACAGGACCTGGGCAGTGATAGCTGTTTGAAAGTGTATTATGAATGTGAGGAAAGGTGCAATGCTATAGAAAGGAGGTTAGGACGGCCCACTTCTTTCCCTCCACCCACTTCTGAAAGGCCCCTGCATCTCAGCCACCCTTCACCCTCCTGCCTTGTTATTCCTCCAGGCCCCAAGGATTCAAATTCCTAGTTTCCAGACCAAATCCCAAATCCATCACTCACAGAGGGGGAAAAAACGATCCATCTGGGTTATATTAGGCAAAACCTGTGCAATTCACAGGCCTTAACTACTTCCCTTTTTAATACACTTTGCCTTATCAACTTTCATCGTGGTGGAGCTTGCTTGTATCTGACACTGCTGGATATTTACTGGGGGATGTCGAAAAGGAATGCAGACACAAATTAACAGGGTAAAAAAGGAGGCAAGGCCTCCCGATTTAACTGTAAAATACTACCCGGTGCCAGGAACATCATGTGTCTTCATTACACAAAGGTTTGAGCACCATTAAGACAATGGCTTTGATGGAAACAACAGAGATAGCCTACTTTTAGAAACAGCAGGAGTGCCAGGGTTCCCATGAGGACTTTTCTGCAGAAATTCAGAGGAATTTTCCATGACCATTTGTAGGGGGTGACAGCTGTCCTAGGTCTGGCCTTTTATAAGGTAGTAAAAGTGTCTCCTCATCTATCCACTTCAGAGCTGACCAGCCAACTGTAGCCCCCTGCTGCTGACCCACACCCGCTGGGCACACAAACAGGTCGCTACTTCCCTGTGGGAAAACACTGAAGCACACTTTGAGATAATTACCCTCCTCTACACTCTTTAAAATAAAGGTTCCAAAAGTGGGTTTTCACAGCAATGCCATAGAAGAACTATTGTTGGGTTCCCCAAAGAACCATTCAGTGAACAGGTCTTAAAGGAATAGTTCACCCAAAAATGAAAATGTACCCCACTTCAGGCCATCCAAGACATAGATGAGTTTGTTCCTTATCTGAACAGGTTTGGTGAAATTTAGCATCACATCACTTGCTCAACAATGGATCCTCTGCAGTGAATGGGTGCCGTCAGAATGAGAGTTCAAACAGCTGATAAAAACATCACAATAAACCACAAGTAATACACATGACTGTAGTCCATCAATTCATGTCTTGTGAAGCGAAAAACTGTTTTTATAATAAATTCATCAAGAGTCAGAATCAGGAGAGAAATATGCATAGATCAAGCACTGTTTATGAGCGAAAACGGTCCAAAACAGTTCTAAAAAAATATGCCTTAATGATGGATTTGTTTCTAACTAACACGCAGCTTTTCTCTTTTCAAGACATTAAATGATGGACTGGAGTCATGTGGATTACTGGTGGATTATTGTGATGTTTTCCAACGGCACCCATTCACTGTAGAAGGTCAATTGGTGATCGAGTGACGTAATGCTAAACTCAAATTTCAAATCTGTACAGGTGTAGAAATACATTCCGATGTAGAAACAAACTCATCTACATCTAGAATGGCCTGAAGGTAAGTAAATGTTCAGTAAATTTTTATTTTTGGGTGAACCATTGCTTTAAAAGAACCATTTTTTCTTAGTGTGATGAACATTTTAATTAATTAATTTTTTCACTATAAGGAATCTTTAGTGCAACGAAAAGGTTCCATGGATGCTAAAGGTTCTTCATGGATCCATAGATGCCAATAAAAAACGTTTATGTATTACCCTGAATATTAAGTAAGTACGGACATTCCTAATGACCACTTTTACAAACAACAAATAAGGCAGATTTGTAGACAACACTTTATTTTTTTAACTTAAGTTAAAATTTTTTACAAGAATACTGTGATATACAAAGGGAGCTGAGGTAGCAACATTTACAAACAAGAGGGCGACTAGCTCTTTAAAGGTTTGAAGAAAATTTTGGTCAATCTAACTGGAAACCAGCATTGGAAATATGTTCTAGTCATGGTACATTTTCAGGATGCAGCTTTGGATGACACCCATGTATCTGTCCCATATTACTTGATGCCTGTGGAAAAAAATCACGTAATACGTTTAGCAAATGCTTTTGTTGTTGTTTTTTAGTATGAGAAAGAGATCCCAGTGTTGGGGTAATGCATTACAAGTAACGCCAGTTACGTAATCAGACTACTTTTTTTAAGTAACTAGTAAAGTAATGCATTACTTTTTAATTTAGAAGGAAATATCCGAGTTACTTTTTCAAATAAGTAACTCCAGTTACTTTGTTTCCCATGTAGTGACTGACAGCTTTCGTGTTGCCATGTTGAGAGAAATCAGGAGTAAGTGCAGAGGCGTTGTGTGTGAACATGATCTTACTGTAGTTCTAGACTAAATATGAACATGTATTTACTCATCTCACCTGCACAAAAACAGATTTAGTACTCCTCAAAATCAATAACAACAGTCAAATGCAAACTCAGAAACCTGCAATAATTAAATATTTAATATAAGACAAATATCATTTATGCATTTAATCCTATTTTATTAACCAAAGTCTTTGCTAGTGACCTTCGATGATCCAATTCAACCATACTAAGCAAAAATGAAACATTTGTGTTTCCTTTTTGTTATTGCTGAATAGTGTTGAACTTTCTTCTCCTGCGCCATATTCTTCATGCGATTCGTTTCAGCTGCGCCCTCTACTGTACTGTACAGACGTGAATTTACATTTCCTTCAGCCTGAGACGTATTCATTTCACTTTTGGTGTGAAAGGGCTTTTACATATGTAAAATAACTTTTTTATATTAAAAACAAACAAGCAAGCCCTGCCCAGATTTAAAAAGTAACTCAAAAGAAACATAACGCATTACTTCCCATAAAAAGTAACTAAGTAACGTAATTAGTTACTTTTTAGGAAGCAGCACAATATTGTAATGCATTACTTTTAAAAGTAACTGTCCCCAACACTGATCACAAACACACATAAATGCATATATACTAACCTGAAAGCCTCAAGCATGCGTACAGAGCTGCTGTAGTGCTTGAGGAAAAGTCTGAGGTCTCCGATTGTCCATTTATCTGACCGGCATGGTTCAACGAACTGAAAGAAGAACCGATAATCCTTCTGTCACACTTGACCTGGGACTATTCAGGGACAAATATCACCTCTTGGTATGCAGTTTATCTAGTGTCAGTGCATTACCTTCTCCACAAGGTCGATGAACAGATCTCGGAAATCTTTGGTGTGTGTGAGTTTTGAGGCGATGTTAACTAGAGCTCTTGACAAATTCTGAAGTTCACCCACAGCAATAAGCATCCATGTCATCCAAGATAAATAAAACAAATTAATAAACAAAACGTGTATATAATATATACACACACACACACACACTACTGTTCAAATGTTTAGTAAGATTTTATATCTTTGAAAGAAGTCTCTTATTCTTACTTAGGCAGCATTAACTTGATCAGAAATCATCTGTAATATTGTGAAATGTCATTTATTCTAAATGTTATGTATTCCTGTGATGGCAAAGCCATTACTCCAGTTGTCAGTGTCACATGATCCTTCAGAAATCATTCTAAAATACTGATTTGGGCTTTTTAGGGCTCTTTGATGAATAGAAAGACAGCGTTTATTTGAAACTGAAATCTTTCCTAACTTTATAAATGTCTTTAGTGTCATTTTTGATTAATTTGAAGTGCCCTTGCTGAATAAAAATATTATTTAAAAAAATATCTGTGTGTGTGATAAAATGCTTACAATTAAAAACATTCATGCTTCTCACCTTAAAACTGGCCTCCATCTCACTAAAGACTTTAATTTTCCCTCTAAGCTGTGCACACACCAAGCTATAACGTTAGTAGAAAGGACAGATATGTTAGAGATAGTGTGTCATAAGCATTACACTTGACCATGTGAATAAACTATTTGCATGCCTTTTGTGTTGGTCCAACATGTCCTTATCATTAACCAAAACTTTCAAGTCTTTCAAGTCATGGAGAAACTCTTTTTCTAGATCAACATTCAAGTCTTCCATCATGTTGTCTAAGAAAGTATGAAAGAAAGAAAACAGAGCGTGAGAATGCATATACAGTACCTGTAATGCATTTCCTTTCAAATTAATTTTGCCTCATTTCCATTACCTTTCCCATTATGGATCTCACACATATTTCCCTAACAGAATTTGGGGAATACTTCCTGATTTTGGCACTGTCACCTCCCTGCTTTCAGAACTGCATACTGTACAAAGACACTCACCAAAGATTATCTGACTGGTGGAATTTCATGCAATGTGACAGTAGTGGCTGCTGTAGTAATGTAAATGACAGAATTGTAGTTTTTCTTGAGTGAACTGTATCTTTAAGGTGAACATCTTACCAACTGCTCCCACGGTCCAGTAGCTGATGAGCTGACCAGCGCAAAAGGCAAAGTCCTGGAAAGACAAATATTGTAGCTTTCTCTTCCCTGTCTCAAAACGGCTGTTAGCAAAGAACACGATGGCAGCATAGTCCCTGCAGAGAGACATGGCTGAGTCAATGAGAAGACAGAGTGTGAAAAGTGTGCCAGGAACAGAAAAGAGCATATGAGGAGAAAGATGAATGGGGGAGAGAGAGCAAGCAAAACAGTAAGAAGGTGAACACAACAGAAACATAAGTTTTAAGATGTGCCTGTTTATTTTCTAGGTTTTGTCGGGTTTATGATTGCTTTTAATTATAACTCTAAAAGCTTTCACTGGTTAAGCTGGTTGTATTAAGTCACAATAGCACAAATGCATTTACAGTACTGAAGTACAGTATATGACCTCATATAAATCATCTTTATCACAAGAACAGGTAGGAAATATTGTGATTGACACACATTTACATCCCTTGAATTGGAAAGTTAGAAATGGTCACAGTTTCAATAGGTGGGACAGCTGCTTTTTACCACTAGCAATATGCTTCATTTGGCCACATGTGTGAAAGTCTCACCTTGCCAAAACATCAGACAGGAGAAAGTGACGCTGTATGTTCTCCACTAGGGGGCCTTTTAGCTCTTCCACCACTTTAAACACATGCTTGAAATTGTCAAACTGAGAAAATGGAAGTGAGGTTAAAACAATACATCTTCTTGCTTATCATCTGGTCTTTGAATGAATGAATGAATCAATCAATCAATCAATTAATTAATATTCACTTAATTACAAAATATAATAATATTATTTAATATCTAAGTAGTGTACACTGACATTATGTAAATAAATGTGAATAAAATAATAACAATTATTATTTAATATTCATAAGTACTGTATGCTGACAACATTTCTGTAAACAAATATATGTGAATATAATAATCATCATCATTATTTAATATCTCTAAGTATTGTACACTGACAACCTTTCTGTTGATAAATTAGTACTAAAGTAATAATAACAATTATTACACTTTAATATTTCTAAGTATTGTCCACTGAAATTTCCGTAAAGATTATGTTAATTAGTAATAAAAAATAATAACAACAATTTTATAATAACAATCAATCATTTTTATAATAACACTCACAATCAATTTAAGTACTGTGCACTGACAACATATTTGTAAACAACAATAATAATAATTGTTATTATTTGTAAGTATTGTACACTGACAACATTTCTGTAAAACAGCATTGCTAATCATGCAGTATCATCCTTTCTTTGTGAGACATGCAAAAATATAAGAGGCCAAAGTGTCTGCAGCACCTGTCGACGACAGCACTTGAGCGCAATCCCAGTCTTTGAACTGATGTCGTCCAAGTCTTTTTTGGTCCCTTTGGAGAGTTTCTTACCCAGCACCTCCCTGGCAAACACACTATCAAACTCATAGTACCTACAGGACAAATGTGGCAACAAACAAACAAGCTCAGCAAAACAGTGATGATGATGCCCTAACTACTAAAACTAAAAAAGCAACAACATTATAAAACATAATACAAACTAGTACGACCACAGACCTCTCGATGAGCATGGTTTGATGGTGAGGAGGGATCTGGAACAGAAGCTGATTGGCCACTTTGGAAGGGGACTGGAGGAGCCGCTCACACATCTGGAATGTTCTGAACTGGTCCATGGTGTCGCTGTGCAGAATTTCTGCATTGGCTTCACACTCCTGCAAGGCACCTGCTTCCATCCGTATTCTCACTGCATCTGAGACTATATACATGAAGAGGATCATTACCTTAAGTGTTAAACATAAAAAAGCATGCACTAAGTGTGTATGACAAACTCGTATGCAACATTTAGAAACAACTTTATTAACCTGTGTGTCCATCCAGCCACAGTTGGTACACGTCTTCATCCAGGACAGTAGTGTTCCCCACAAACACATCTAACTCCGTAGACATTTTCTTAAAAAGCATAAATAATAATAATAATAATATTTAAAATGATATATTAAAAACATAGTTAAAAATAATTTGCTATACAAAGAGTGGTCACAGCTGCTTTTGACAAACATAACTTTGATTTGCAGCAACAAATGCGATCTCTTAAAATGAAAACTGTTGTAATAAACTGTTTATATGTTGTAGGTGTTTTTATAAGATGTGCAGAGATTTAAAACGCAAAATGATACATGAGAACCTTCTTATTCAGAGAAAGATGAAGTCAAACTCATGATGAAAACTTACCGTTTTATTTATGCGTTGCACTGAAAAATTCAGTCAAAGAGGAGCAGTTAGCTCATGGTAGAACGTGGCTTCTGCTGTATGGCTCTCTAGGACGCATCTGCGAGCTGAGCTTATTGCGCAGATACAATTCCAAACGCGCAGCAGGTGCAGATCTGTTAATGCGCTTTATGCTGAAGCACAAACAAATAATACCAGGATTATCTATGAACGCTGACTGATACTGTAGTATATGCAAAAGCTGTCAAACTCCTCACAATCGCCTGGATCCAGTATCTGGTTTTACCCAAGCTGAACTACATTCACCATAGACATTGCCCTCCGTCGAGCGTTCATGCAGCGTTATTGAACGTCTGCTTCTGTGTGACTGCCACCTGCTGTTAAGGAATAAACAAAGCACAAAGTTGCAACCAAAACTAAAAAAATGTGCAGAAAAACGTATAACTTAATGCCTATATCATTTTAATTTTGTGCTTGTGTAATGTTTCTGGCTCAGACTTACAGTATTACTCAAGCTGAACTTACAATAACAGACTGAGGAAACGTGTATTAAGGCATTTTTGGTAAATTGAATGATCGGTAATGTTAATATTGAACCAAATCTGCACAAACCAAGTCTTAAAGAATTATATTTGCTTGAGTATTGATTTTATCCTAAAATCTCCTCCCAAGTTATTATTTGTTGTAATGTTAAAGTGGAGTATCAGTTGGCGTTGGAATAATTATACAATTTTGTGATATTTTGTAAAAATAAATAAAATTGTGATATTGTGAATGCAATTTATCATATTTATAAAATGTGATTTGATTCACATTTTATATTTGTAATATATTTGATTAAATATTAATATTTGATTAAATGTTACTGTAATATTTAAAGGATAGTATTCACACATTTTTATTAGCTATATACTACTGTTCAAAAGTTTGGGGTTTTATTTAAAGCAAGTTTTATTAAGCAAGGACTGAATTGGCAGTAAAGACTTATTGTTACAAAAATTCAATTTCAGATAAATGTTGTTCCTTTAACTTTTCTGTTAATCAAAGAATGCACAAACAATATATAGCTTTCCACAAAAATATATTTAGTGGCACAACCTTTTCGACATTGATAGTAAAATAAATGTTTCTTGGGCAACAGTTTTGGAATCATTTCTGAAAAACACTTAATGAAAACTGGAGTAATGGCTGCTGAAAATTCAACTTTGCCATCACAGGAATAATTATATTTTGAAATAAATGTAAAATAGACAACAATTCATTTAAATTGTAATAATATTTCACAACATTACTGATTTTACTGTACTTTTGAACAGCATACATATTAGCTAAGTAATAAACATATAATTTATAGAGCTGGCACCCAACCAAGGTCCACACCTGCTGCTACACCCATGGTACAAAAACATTTGATAGAGTAACAACGACATTTGAAACTGTGGTTTATTCTGAAAACAAGTCAAATGAAATGTGCATGCAATACAATAATTATCAAGGTATCACTGAAATATATTTTAACATTTCGCTTTCTTTAACAAATATACGCTTATTATGTTATATAATCCACAGCTGATCTGAACCAGCAGACTCAGCACTAAACATGACCAGCATCAGTATTTATTCTGGGTTTGGGTCATTTAACTTGCAGATAAGCATGTGTGCCTCAAAAACCAACTCAAGCCTTTCTCTCTCCCTTTCAAGAGTAGCGATCTCTTCCTCCAGTTGCGTCTTCCCATGTTCCAAATGCTCCGTCTCCTGGAAGAGAAAGCACAAGCTCAGGACATACGGCTAACGGCTAAACATGGTTTATAGCACAAATAAGTACTAATCTCACATTCTGTAATGTGTATATAAGCATCCGACGACGGTCCCGACACCTGGCGGCTGCTACTCTGTTCCTTTCCCTGCGGATCCTTATCCTGTCAAGTTCCTCAGAGGACATCTATAAAGGCCGAGGTGTTAGGTGTTAGCAAGGCAATTCCAAATTTCATTTAAGAACCAAGATTCAGTCTAAAAGAGTGATGGTGCTGCCATCTTATGAATGATATCAAGAAAACATACAGACAGCAATTCTACCCAATTCCAAATATGCTGTTCCTGTTACTAATCCATTGGCACCAATGACAACATGATCCATCCATCTGAGCATGCGCTTTAAGATTCCCGCTCAAATACTACAGCGCTGACTCACTCCTCATGCCCCTGTGTGATTCAGGTGTGAGTCATTTCACTCTTTTACCACAATGAATGAATCACCAGAACTTTACTTTCACTACATTCTGCATTCTAAACTCTGAAAATTTCAGAAATATCAGTAACTTACATGTTTGTTAGCATGTCCTATTGAACGGTCCCCCACTGTTCCATTACAGGACGGGTCAGGACTGGAGCACTGTGACAAACAGGGGCAGTTGGGCATGGTGGTGGGTGCGAATGAGGAAAACGTTCCCAAGGTGGCCTCTGATTGGGAAAATAGAGAGGACTGCAGAAGCCACTGAAGATCTGGACTAGATGTAATTACATCAAGATTTGGGCTGGATGTAGTGTCCTCAGTAAGATTCTGCAATAAATGAATTTGTAACTTACATGTTTGTTAGCATGTCCTATTGAACGGTCCCCCACTGTTCCATTACAGGACGGGTCAGGACTGGAGCACTGTGACAAACAGGGGCAGTTGGGCATGGTGGTGGGTGCGAATGAGGAAAACGTTCCCAAGGTGGCCTCTGATTGGGAAAATAGAGAGGACTGCAGAAGCCACTGAAGATCTGGACTAGATGTAATTACATCAAGATTTGGGCTGGATGTAGTGTCCTCAGTAAGATTCTGCAATAAATGAATTTGTTATTAAATAATGTTAACAATTATAAAAAATGTAGGCTCAAAAACAATTATAAGAATTGCAGACGAAAAAATTTTTCATCTTCACAATACTGAACAATTATTATCTGTCCTGTTGTAGTTCTTCTGTTTGATTTAGTTGATTTTGAAAATATACAAAAGTCGGTCAGAAGTCAGAAAGAGCTTTATTACCAAGTATGTTTACACACACACAAGGAATCTGACTTGGAGCTTCCAGTGCAGAAGAAAATACGGACATAGTGCAGACATACATGATAGTGCAGAATTACACAGTAGAGGTGGAATTTATTTATTTAGTCATTTAGCAGACACTTTTATCCAAAGCGACTTACAAATGAGGACAACAGAAGCAATCAATTGTAGTATTAAAACAACTAAAAACAGATCCAAAACTAAAAGCTAAAACTTTATAAATACTACCTATATGCATTTTAAAAATAAAGAGATTAAATAAAAATGACAAATGCATACAACAATTTTTCAAAACTTAACATTTAAATGAAAATTAAATAAAACTAAAACTTAATAAAATACCTCTACAGACATAATAAATTCAGACATAATTTAACCAAAATTAAAATAAATAACAAATACAAATAATACAAATCAAACGTCAGTAGTTTATCAGTAATCCTAAAAAAAATCACTGCCAAACTTACATGCTAAAAAACAGCAACTTCCTGACACATAGTAAGACATGGTTATAAAAACTGAAACAGAAGTGAAACAAGTAGTAGGAATATAATATAACAGGAATATATTAGGAATATAACACTAATATAAGAAAAAAAACTGAAAATTAAATAAATAAATATACAGAAGTAGAAATATAGAGAAGAAAATATACGAAAATATATTTTATTTTTATACAAGAAAATACCTTAAAATATTTTTTAAATGTGTTAAATATTTAAAAAAAATTAAAAAATAAATAAATATAAACATACCGGAAGAGCCGTTGAATTATCCGGGTCCATCCATGCTGGAGAAATCTGGGAATCATACATACGATAATACGATTCTCTTCCTTCATTATAACTCATTATGATCAAACCCGATATTCTTCGAGTTCATATTATTTCTGTTAGTTAAGTTCGCAAACCATCTCCCGTGCTGTTAATTGAAATAGGCCCACAAAGGGACAAATTCGGTAGGAGAAAAATGACAAAACTATGATAAATCCATCAGAACGAATGATGAAAAAATAAACCAAAACACGTGCTACAACTTTTCTTCAAGTGTTTCAGCGCCTCCTCACACCCACTCACACGCACTCTCTCTCCTCCCATCACTGGAGCATCTATCCTTTCCAATCTACCGCCTTTTCTCCTCTGTGGCCACTAATGTGCCTCTCTAATTGCTATTACTTATGAAGACCTTCTTGCCAATAGCGCCAACTAACTGTCGCTGAAATTATATTCACTAGAAAACCCAGTAAATATCGTAAGTTTAACACATGTGGTTTTAACACACCCTTCACATGTTGAATTCTGCCAAGTGACGTGTAGGTTTGAAATGTATGAATAATCCAACCGTTGCGGAACTGGCAGGACATCCGCGAATCACTAGAGAACAGATACATGCCTCATTTCAAGGCTGGTCTGTACTGTCTTCAGGAATACATTAACATGAGGAAAGAAAAGGAAAAAAGACTTGGAAAAACTCTTTGAGAACTTCAAGCAGAAGAAATTAAATATAAAACATTTTTTTATTACACTTATTTCAGTTTTTGTTTTTGTGCATAGGGCATACTTTTTTATTTTTTATATTTGTATTATATATAACTTTTATCAACCAAATCAATTCTTTTTAGATCACCATGGCTGTGTGTCAGGGTATTCTTTTTTGAAAATATCATATTTTAATCTTTTAAGTAAAATGCACATTTTGTTCAAACATTTGGTCAATAGAGTAACCCTAAACATATCTTGACACACACACACACACACACACACACACGGATAGATAGATTTATAAATATATATTTAATATTTGAAACTACTGTTGAATGCTTGAATCTGATTGGCTGACAGCAGAGGCGGACAAAGTACTCGACTCCATTACTTGAGTGAAAGTACAGATACTGCTGGTCAAATATTACTCCATTACAAGTAAAAGTTGTAAAGACAGATTTTTACTAAAGTAAAAGTACAGAAGTACTTACTTTTAAAAGTACTTAAGTAGCAAAAGTAAATTTCCTTTTTTATGTCAATGCACTGTTTTATTGTTGTACGTAGTACTTGCAATACTTCTGAAGCAACTTACAATACATTACACCTACTGAATACAGTAGAGTGAAATCCTGTAAATACAGAGTGATAAGGAAGGGAAAAAAATCAAACCTGCTTTAAAATCCAGCAACACAACTGTAGATGTATAACGTTGGAAGTCGTGGCCTAATGGTTAGAGATTCGGACTCGTAACCCAAAGGTTGTGGGTTTGGGTCTCATACCGGCAGGGATTGTAGGTGGGGGTAGTGAATGTACACCTTCAATACCATGACTGAGGTGCCCTTGAGCAAGGCACCGAACCCCCAACTGCTCCCCGGGCGCCGCAGCATAAACAGCTGCCCACTGCTCTGGGTGTGTGTTCACGGTGTGTGTGTGTTCACTGCTGTGTGTG